TAAAATGTTCATATATATTACAGTGATGAGAAATAGGGTGAAATATGACTTGAAATGTGAGGTTCACCCTAATACACAAGTACAGCCCTGTTGGGAAAAAACACTTAGAAGGTACTGATGGGAAAGAACTCATGTGATCCATAGTTGCATGCCTGAAAACAACTTCAACAGTGTTTTCTATTGAGGTTTTGTACCAGTTTGATCAGATGTTATTATTGTGCTCTGCCTGCTTCATTCCAAGATGTCAAGTTGTTGTTTATTATGCTTGATGCCTGCAGGCGATGGAGGGCTCAATGCTGACACTCAGCTTAGCTAACTGGATGGAACTTCCTGGTTTGAAGCTGAAGGAGTGGATGAGAGATAAACGAAGGTATAAAGAAATGAAACCCAAACATTAAAATTAGTGCAGAGAATAAAGGGCTCGTATTTCATACAACATTCTTAGTCCGATTCTTAGCATAAGTCTGATATGAAAATAAGATTCCCCCTTTGTGTTAGTCCTAGAACCAAACTGAAACTGTTAAGCAGCTTACAAAAACTGTTCTGTGTACAATTTTCTGTTAAAATGCTTTCTCTTTTCTAACATAATGTGAGAAGTATAAGTAAGCAATAATTATCTTAATTTCTCTTAAGATGGTGGATCAAAACCTTTCATCAAAGTTGTCCAAAGTTGTTCTTGTCTTAGGGCAACTTTGATGAACTTTTTCGATCCACTTCAAATGTTGACTACTGGTTTTGTAAAATAGTAAGTCTCTCTTTTTTTTCCAAATTGTCTTTTTTCCAGTATCTAACATACTGGTTTGTGTGTGCAGAAATTTACGTAATGACCGGGCCACACCAGCTGAGATTGCGTCGTACTACCAGCACAATGTGACTAAAATGGGTCTGGAGAAGAGCTTTGCTTGCGGCACCACCGTAACCTCAGTGTCTCGGGTTTCCCTTGAATCTGGCTGCTCCGTTTGGAAGATCCAAGGCCACCAGAGAAGAGCAAGCAGTGGTGAAGAAATTGAAGTCCCTTTCTCGGTCTATGCCGAGAACGTGGTGCTTGCCACAGGAACCCACGACATCCCTGCCCGTCTCGGCGTGGAAGGTGAAAACCTTCCCTTTGTGTGCCACAGCTTCTGGGAGCTGGAGGCTGCCATTTCGTCAGGCCGCTTGGACCGCGCTTCAGAGCCGGTTCTTGTGGTTGGTGCTGGGTTGACGTCGGCAGATGCCGTTCTGGCAGCTCACCACTTGAACACTCCTGTATATCACACCTTTAGGCGACCTGTGAGTGATCCGGCGCTCATCTTCAACCAGCTGCCCAAGCTCCTCTACCCGGAGTACCACAAAGTGCATCAAATGATGAGCCAACAGCAGTACAAAGTGGGTGAGACGGTGGTCAATCTGTCCAACCAGCCTCTTTCTTCACCTGCTGATGGCACCAGCCCGTATACCTGTTATCCTGGTTACCTAAGTTTCCCAAAGCACCATGTAGCTGCCTTCAGACCTGATGGCAAGTGTGTGCTTGAGGATGAGGGAGGGATACAGACAGTGCTGCAAGTCTCAATGGCGCTCGTTTTGATTGGTGCCCATCCCAACCTGTCATTCCTCCCAGAACATGGTGGTCCGCTGGCGTTGGACTCGGAAGAGCCAATCAGTTGTCGGCGGAACCCGCTAGACGTGGATCCATACACATATGAGTGCGTGAAGGAGCCAGGGATGTATGCCATGGGTCCGCTGGTGGGTGAGAACTTTGTGCGGTTCCTGAAAGGCGGAGCTTTGGCCATTGTGTGTGATATCGCCCGAAAACAAAGTAAAAAAACGTCAAGAGAATTGCACAACAAGCTCATTGAATATTTAACTGACCAACTGCACGTTGGAAGCATGAAAAGACATTGACTTTAAAGGGGTGAAAAGAGCTCTTTGATGTATAGCTATCTGGTACTTCCAGAATCCACATACATGTTGGAAAATGCTCAGTGGTTCTGCTCCAACTGACACAAAGGAATCAGTTGTTGAACAGTTCGTGACCGTTCCGACATCCCACTGCAAGCGCACGGACACAGTTTTTTGTTGTTAATGGCTAACTAACCCGCCTCTGAACATTAATCTGAGTCTCCGGACACAGGGTGCTTTAACACTTCAGGGATTTATTTGTCCATGGCTGCTCACTCGAAACACTACTCATGTTCTCACAGCAATCATGTTCTGTTGTGCCAAATTAACATTTGTATGCTCAGTGTTTTCAAATCTAATATTTCCTTCATGCACGGAAAACACAAAACTAAACTTTGCCAAGCAAATGCTGCTGTTGTATCAATGGTGGTGGTACTCACCCTCTTACTGTCTTCTTCAATGAATGTATAAGTAGTGCATAGTGGACCTAAAAAATCAGAAAGATCATAGCATTTTAACTTCGTCTCCCGTACATTGCCTTCCTAAGTAAAGCATACAGTTGTAGTGAATCCTTTGGTTAAACCAGCAAACCAGACTTGAGTGTCTAGAATGAGGGCTCTTAAAAGTTTAAGACGTCCTTGTTTCATTCTGCTGTTACTAACCTAAAGCCAAGCTCGGAGAGGTCAGGCTGCACTTACAAAACTGACCACAAGAGGGCCTTTGCACGCCGTGACTGAAGCCAGCAACATTGCATCAGACATAATGATCTATCATGACGTTATTTGAATGAATGATTAATCTTACATAAGCTTATTCAACATTGTGTTAATTGACATGGGCCAAATATATGACCTCGAGGACCTTTTGATGCAATGAGTAAAATAACTACATTTATTTAAATTGTGTAAGATGTAAATTCAAATAAAATGCATATCTTGTTCCTTCAAGAAAACGATTCTAGATTCAAGGTTATGATGCAACCTCCTTTTTTTTTTTTTTTTATCTAAAAACTATTTCTGCTGTATTACTTGCATGTAAGTTATGAACCCTGGCAGCTCTGATCAAACGTGTTTGTAAAAATAGTTTGTACTTTTTTGAAATAAAAATATGTATAGTTTATCTACATGGGTTGTTGAAGTCAAATACTTAAAAAAAAAAAAAAAAAAACGGAGCCTGAAAAAAATACTGTGCGTTCATTTATTTATTTATGACTACTACTTGTTCTGTGCAGTTTTAAGAATGTTGGTCAAAGCCACTAAGGTAAAAAGTTTAGTTTTTAAAAATGTTTCATACATTATTAATACTTTTCCATCCATAAAAGGGTCACATGATAACAATATGGCTTTTGTGTGTTGGTTAAACTACAAACTGGTAGATGTATTGAATAAATTTTTTAAGTGGATTTCTTCAAATATTTTCTTTAATATTGCTTCATTGCTTTTTTAATAGGTTAAAATATTAAATATATGAGCATATGGCATACATAATATATACAAAAAAATAGGCAGTATACACAGTATATACTGTAATTTTTGTAATACACTAGTATCACATCACATATATTACAAATCACTACTAAAGTTTCACCACTAGATGGTAGCAAGTATTTACTACAGCTTAAGGACATCTGTACTAGTTAAACAAAACTTAAGATACTGAATATAATTTAATGTAATTTTGTTCTATTTATGATAAGCTCTAAAATATTTATTTAGTTAGAAATGGCTCTTTTCAAGAGCAATCTCTACAAATGAATTCTAAAAATCCTTACTTCTAATGTTGAACATTGCAAATTAAACAAATGAAAAGATAACCTTGTGTGTGATTTTTCGAAACTTATGTATATGTGAAATGAACTGTTGATTTTATAGCAACACTAAAAGACACTGACTTAAATACTCCATCCATGGACTTTGTGAGTCTGGATGTTTGTGCTGTGAGTGGGCACATGAAGCTGTGTGGGAAGCCCTTTGCAGACTGATGAACAAGGTGACCTCCGCTCTCTCCCACAGACAGACAGGTGGCCACTAGAGGACGTGATGCTGAATTGATCATGTCTGCGTTGCTATGAGACCGCTGAGCTGAGAGGTGGACTCGTTTGGTAATGTCAGTTAACAGCACAAGGCTGGGCAAGATTACAATGATGATGCTGACTCATAGATGATATGAATCCCTGAAAACCAGCTCTTGTGTGTAGGCTACATAAATCTATCAGGATGTGCTTCTGTTGTGATTTATCTTTATAGAAAGAAAGTACATTTTAAATTTCTTAAGAAGAGAGAGTTTAGCAAATGTGGACAGCTTGTAGTCATAAGTAATGAAGTAAATGGTTTTTAACAGTGTTTATCAAGTCTTATCATTAAAAATAAATGAATAAAAAGAGCAAAATGGTTGTAAAAAGTGATGCAGTTGGTAACTATTTCACAAATTTTTATCACATTTTCGCTTTTACTTGTTTGCCTTAATTGTTTTTAAAAATACAAACATTTCATATTGTGTCTGTTATGAGGTCATATTATTATATAGGTCATACATATATTATATGTGACCCTGGACCACAAAACCAGTCATAAGTAGCACGGGTATATTTGTATATACAAATATGCAATAGCCAACAATACGTTGTATGGGTCAAAATTATCGATTTTTTATTTTATGCCAAAATTCATTAGGATGTTAAGTAAAGATCGTGTTCCATGAAGATATTTTGTAAATTTCCTACCGTAAATATATCAAAAATTAATTTTTGATTAGTAATATGCATTGCTAAAGACATAATATGGACAACTATAAAGGCGATTTTCTCAATATTTAGATTTTTTTTTTTTTTGCACCCTATGATAACAGATTTTCAAATAGTTGTATCTCGGGCAAATATTGTCCTATCCTAACAAACCATACATCAATGAAAGGCTTATTTATTCAGCTTGCAGACGATGTATACATAATTGACCCTTATGACTGGTTTTGTGGTCCAGGGTCACATATATTATTTACATACATCAACTAGTATGCTATGACAAAAGTAACGGAAAAGCACGAACATGTCCGAAGTACTCATGCTCCGCCCCCTTTTGAGTTCGTCGCCAGCCGATCCACACAAACGGGTTAGAAAGCGCGAGAGCGAGCGAGCCAGGACTCAGGAGTGAATTGTTTACTCTGTGGAATCTATCAGGAGCCGAAACTTTAGTCAGGTTTTGCTGTATTCATTTTAACCGAAAAGTTATTTCAAACTGCAACCGCTCAAAATAATCCCCATAAAGGACATATCTGCGGCTGGATCGACTGAATGAAACCATGAGGAATAAAAAACACGGCGGTTGTCGCGATCTAAACTAACGTGACTATCGATCCAGCAGAGCCAAGCTTTTGAAAACGCCGAGCCAGGTACTTCGGCGCAGACTTTCAACGGTCGGTTTTTCCTACGGGTTTACCTGTGCTTACGTGGCACTTTTTTGACCTGGATACTTATTGTCAAAAATCACGCTTTTGGGCTTTTTATCCACTTTTGTCGTGGCGATGTGATGTATTTTCAGAGGTTTAGTAAGTTGCGTGGCCGGGACTAGTTTACTTGCGCCGGGCAGCCAATCAGCGGAATAACACTCACTATTTTTGCGTTAATTTAACCACTTTTGCCTTATTCACACGATAGCCTTCAAAAACAGCCTCGTACCGCACCCTTCACATATTGACAGCGGGTTTCGAGGCGAGCTTTCACAAGGAGGAGAAGTGTCACCGCTGCGCGTGTGGTAAAATGGATGCGGGAATGGAGAAGGAGTGTAGCGCTTTGGGAGGGCTCTTCCAAATCATCATGAACGACATGAAGGTGAGTCCCTCTCAAATTGAAATAACACACCCGATGCTTTGATTTCCCCCCAGCTTCATGGGTGGGTTTGGAGTCTGTCTGTAGAAAGGCTCAGAATAAGTTATTTTCCAGCTGTTCTGGAGGGTTGGCAACAGTTCTGTGGTTGGCCGGCTGCTGATAGATGTGAATCCAGCCGCCCTGTGATGTGCGTCCCCTTCAAATCACCATTTACATCTGTGTAGGCTGATCCTCTCGGATATACGAGTGCATTTACTAGTTAGAAAGACTGTATACATTTAGGTTATTTGTAAAGTAATATACAGTAGAAAAATATGTGGTTATTCCACCTTCCATGTTCAAAGGCACTTCAAAGGGATTGTTGTCACACTACCATAAAAACTAGCATGTTATTAAAATGGCTAATTTGACATGCACATTGGTATTCTTTTAAATACCTTGGAGCTTGGAGTACCATCACTTACAGAAAAAAATGTACCTTAGTACATCCATGTTTTGTTTATATACATGTTAATGCAAGATCTATACAACTTCACAATGTCCAAAAATATGGTACATATATAATACCCTGTTGCAAATATGTTAACAGATGGCACCATGGCAGAACCATATTCATATACCACAGTGTTTGAATTGCACATCAAGGACACTATGGTATTTGTCAAAAATGTCCTTTAAATATGGCTATGTATTTAAATGAGCCAGATAGATATGATGGTATATAATATTTATTTAGTAGTACCATGACATATATTAAAGTGTTGAGCAATTATCAAGCCTAGTTTACAAAATTAATCAGTCTATCTAAAATTTGTCAGCTTAGTTTATCATCTGTCAGAAGTTCTAGTTAACAGTCTCCGCACATGTGGTTTTAAGTTATGTCCTGTTGTCTAACAGCAGTGTTGCTGAACATTTTTGGACACTGGATGGTGACTTTTAATGTATTGTAACCCTAAAACATGGAAATACTCTTCAAATACTGCTAATACCAGTTGTTCATTATAATAACTCTGACTAATCGTTTTCCTTGTTGAAAATGTGTTGTAATGCAGTGGTGTGTGAGTGTGCACAGGTGAGCAGGAAGTCTTTAAAGTGTGTCACATCCTGTTGTAAACATGGCTCAATGTGACTCAGGCTTTATTCAATCTAGACATTAAGGCTCAATTTGCAAGTATGCATTCAGTCAAAGCATTGTTTTTTTCTGTCCTGAAAGGATTTCTATTAGGATGTTTGTTTATGCATAATTTGATGTGGTTTATTGTGTTTCAAATGCACAGAAAAGCATCGTGGATGTCGTTTTTTTGACTCTGTTGTACCTACAAGTGTTCTCAAAACATGTATAGTTAAAAAGTGTAACATGAATAATGTTTCTATGTAATGCAACAGCACACATTTCTTAATTGTTCAAATACATTTTGGGCCACAGTATTTTAGGAACATGTGGATTGTTGCATGTTTGGCATTTAATGGTTTGCATTTATGATGACAAATTTCCATGTTTTTGTTTGTACTCGGTTGATGTATAGTTTGAGTTTCATGAGCGAATAAATGGACCAGAGGTTTTTGGCAACGTCTAGCTATCCATTTGTATGCGTGCTGTTAATGTGGAAATAGGCCATTTGACTCACAGGAAGGGGGAAGTGTGCAGGAGGATATCCCCATGATTGTGTGTGTGCGCGTGTGAATTTGCGTGCATGTAAAGTTATGATACACAGAAAAAAAGCTGTGGGGCAAAGGCTATGTTGTGATCTGTTACAACTCCATAAATAGCGCCGACCATAATGTGCACTGATGTCCAAGTGCATGGAGAAGAGAAGTTAAGTGTTTTCTATGAAAGTTTAGATTATTGTCCAGATTTAACGGTTTAGTTCATCCCCCCCAAAAGAGTCATCATTTGCTCACCCTCATGTGGGTTCGTGACGGAAGATTTGTTTTAAAGATCATATCTTATTTCTAATTGGGATATTTGCTTGGTGTGCTTTGTACTCAAGCATTAGCCTTGAATCAAATAATACAAAGTGCAAAGCTTTAATTAGGGCTGCACAATAAATCGAAATGGAATCGAGATCGCGATTCGACAGAAGCTGCGATTGTCATGCGTTTCTTTCAGTGAAGCATGGTTCTGTGATCAGAAGTAAATCTCAATCCAAAGGCCAGAGGGCGCTCTCGCGCTGAAACTCCAAATACACCTCGCAAAAGAAACCCAGAAAATGCCTATCGCTGCAGCTGAATAAACAGAAGATTCAACTGCTTTCATTGATTCACCGTGACTAATAAACACACGACTACAGCAATATACGGTTTATCTGAGTTCTTATTGCAATTTTCATTAAAATAAAGTATATTTATAATGCAATGCCTTTATCACTGCTTAAATACTATGAAATATGTTGTGTGCCTTATTCTGTGTAAGAAGCCACATCATCTCACAGAAGGATTTATTTCAAACACTCGACTGATGTTATGAAGTGAGTTTGGAGTAAAAATATGTTATTAAATGTGTTATTTTCACATGCTTTCAGATGGAGCAGCATTTACTTCACAGAGCTGTAGTTCACTGAGAAGCTATGCAAACAGCTGTCATTGCGAACGATTTCTTCGATTTCAGAATCGCGCAATAAAATCGTCTGCGATTTGTTTGCGTAACTTGTCAGTGAACTACGGCTATGTGTAGTAAATGCTGCTCCATCTGAAAGCACGTGATGATGATTTACTGCTGATTACAGAACCGGCAATGCGCATGACAATCGCATTCGATTAATCGTGCAGCCCTAGCTTTAATACTATTACTTAAATAAGCAGGACTAAGTAGCTATTTCCAGATGCCAGACGTCAGGTATTTAGAGGGAATCATTCTTTTATACTAGTCTACATTCACACTACATTATTTTGGGTAGATCTAATGTCTGTATGCTTCCTCACCTCTTATGTTATACTCATTGTTGCACCTGATTTCCACAAAGTTCAAGAGTAATGCATGTAAAGTGCCTCGCTAGCTGCTGCTTACTTGTCACTTACGTTGACAGCCCTCAATGTAAGCGTAGGCTGTGAAATACAAAAGTGCAAAAATAAATTGTAGTCGGAGACAAATGTCACTGGTCAGAAATAAAGTTAAGCTGTCAAGGTAAAAGTTGTTTCTTCTAAGAATTTGATGTTTAGCAGTGAGGGATGTGAGCTTGGTTGTCTTGTTTTTTTTTCTGCTTTGCTTGACGTTAATGGATTGAAGCAAGTGTTTTCTGGAATGCACATTACTTAATTTGTCCTTTCACACCATTGAGAAATGTTTTTTTCTGGTCTGGTCTGTGATTCTGCTTCTCAGTTGCAAGTGCTACAGCTCTTCTCCTTCAACAGAACAAGTTTGTGTTCTGTCAGTTTTTGTTCACCAAAACAATAGTGCAACAATTGCACATAATCAAAGGGATAGCTGACTGAAAAATGGCAATTCTGTCATCATGTACACATCCTAATGTAGTTTCAAACCTGTATGGTTAGGGTTGTCATGATATGAAACTTCGTCTGATGGTTAATTGTCTGACATGCGGTAGTAAAATATTTTTATCCTGAACTCACTTTTGCAGTAACAGTGGTTTTAATATGTCCCTCTTTGTATCATCTTCAAAGAAATACAATAAGTAGCTATTTTTGCTTATAATTACATTAGATGACCAAAAATATGTAATAGAAAAACCTTTAAATGAAGACAATTAAAATTTTCTGATGAACTGTCCTTTGATTAATGGAACAACGCAAAGATTCCTATGCCCTGTACAATGTGATCTTTACTGGACCGGAGTGTTTGTAGGTAACATTGGACACCTCCATTTATTTGGAGAGAAGGATAACAGAACAGAATTCCATTCCCACCTGCAGAAATACTGTGAAAGATTGGTTCCTATCATAATACACAGACTCGGGTGGAGAGATGTTTAGTAGGGTTCGTGAGGTCTCAATAAGCTAGACATGGAACAGGATGACAGCAGGTAACCTGAGAGTTTTCCCCTTCTGTTGCAACTGTTTGCAATATGTATTTTAGATTGCTGAACTGTGATGAGATTACCCTACTGTCTACAGATTGTATTTACTGTGATTGTATTTACCCTGGTACTGAGACACAAAATATAGTATGTTGTTAACACTGTTTTTGCCTTTAAGTTCATTAGAACAAGAGGCATCTGGAATGCAAATAGGCGAAAGTGCTGCACGAAATAGTTTTGCGTTTGCATTGCGACTTATTCATTGCAGTACAGTTAGGAAAGTGAGAATATAGCATTATACATTATACGAAAATAGCATTTTATTGCGTTTTTGTAATGCAATAAAAATTTGGAAACAAGATTTTCAAAGAATAGGCATTATAAAGTTATAAATTGTAAATACTACAAAATCAAATAAAAATTAAATAAGTGAAATTGCATAAACAGGTTTGTACTAAGCATAGCGCAGATACAATAATATACTACTGAAGTATTTCTCCACTATGTTGTGTCAAATCTGTAGATTGTTGTGTATGTGTGTTTGTTTTTTAAATGTGCGCATGCATATCATTTCTTACAGTTCAGTTAATGTAAATAGCAAGTCGCCTAAATAAGCATAGTTGATGCACTGGACAAAACTTAAAGGGGTCATATGATGCTACATGCACTTTTACAAGTTGTTTGAACTGAAATGTGTGTTGGCAGTGTGTGTACACAACCACCCTAAAATGATAAAAATCCACCCATCCCGACATCTGAGCCGCTGAAGACGCAGTGGATTACGTTTGTTTTTGAAGAGAATGCGCTCCCAATCTACATAAATGCGTCTTATGTTCGCGCGAATCATTCGTGATCCAGCTTCACCTACAGAAGAAGTGAGTGTAAGGTTTTTTTAATGAATCTTTGCAAATTGCCTTTCCTAATAATTAGGGATGCTCCGATCCGCCTTTTTCGCCTCCAATACCGATTGGCCGATAACGATACCGATCCGATACCAGTGAAGTTTTTTTTCCCTCATTTAAATAAATG